ATAAACACATATAACTGTAAAAGTATTTATTGGAAGTACTTGTTTTAACAGTCTTTTCGCTTCTCTTTTTGTCTCTCGACAGGCATAGGCGTAGCCAGGGGGGGTGGGTTGCGGTGCATAACCAATAAAATAGAACCTTTTTATTGAAATTTTTGGTAGACTTTCTCTTGCTTTTTTCTTGAACCTTCTCTCATTTCTTTCAGTTCCAAATGGGTTTTCTTGGTTTTTTTGCTCTAATTTTATAAGCATCCTCCAACGTTGTACCCTAGATACTTCCGCCTTTTTTTCAGTCTGTCTTGCAGTCTCTGCTTTCTGTTTTTAGCTTTTTGTTCTTTTCTTTTCTTCTCTGCCATTATCTTTTTACCTGCAGAAATCCTTTTGTCTTTTTCTGAATCTCTTTCCACATTTTTCTTCTTTTTTTCTATAAGCACGCATTCGTTCTCTTTGTTTCTCCTTCATTGCTTCGTGTAAAGGCTGATTTTTCATACATCTTTTTTTCAGCTCTTTTCTTGCTTTTTGATTTCTTTTACGATCAACTTCTTTTACCTTTTCATATTTAGATTTGTCTTGTTTTAATTTCTCTCGATATTTTCTCACATTTTCTCTGTTTTTCTCTGCTGAAAGTCCCATTTTGTCCTATGTTGCTCTTAGTCTTGATCTATTGGTTTCATAAGTTCACTTCTGAAGTCAGACTTTGTTTTTTTACATTATGTAATATAAACAAAATATGTAGCATCCGTAATATAGTGTGTTTGATGTTATTAAAGAAATAGTGTCCAATTTTTTTATTGTGCCAGTTTAATTTTAATTGAATGAATGATTCCTGAAATAAAAATGTTCATCCTTTCCATAGTTTGATATGAGAAGTTTAAAAAAGAAAAATATGGTTTTGGTTCTTTGTCAACTCTCATAATTAAATACCCCTTCTGTTCCTAAGGATATCAAGTAATTCTAGTCTGTATCAATCAATGTTGCAATATGACATGTTTCATAATACTGAAGGGTTGTGTTTATTTCTCTTTACCTGGGAATAAAGGACATTACGGATGCTACATTGTCTATTACGGATGCTACACAACCTAGATCAGCTCAGGACTCTGAAAAGGAAAAAACACAAAATATTTAAATATGCTATTTTCTTGAGGGCGGGGTATTTGTTAAATCTAGAACAATAAAAATTAAAAATATTTCTCAGTTAACATGTAATTTAGTTTTTTCTACAGATTACGGATGCTACACTTTTTTGTCTCTTAGATATATTTAGACTTTAAATAATAATATTTCTGTTTATTTGAAAGATTTACATGTTTTCATATTTTATTTGCTTATAACTATCAAAAGGCTTTATTAAAACACAAAAATAAAGAAATAAAAACATATATTTTACCTGTTAGTTGATGAATCAAAAATGTTAGTGCTGAAAATTCAGAAAGTCGTAACGGAGGTAGGCTTGTCTAAAAATGCTATAACTTTTCTGTTGTTCGATGTTATTTGTTGAAATAAACGGCAAAATAAAGGAAACTGAAAATACTAAAATAAACATATAACTTTTACATATAAGTTTATTCAGTTTTTTCTCAAAACTTATTCTAAAATAGCTTACTGTAAAACAGGTATTGTTAGCGAGGGGTAATTGTTAGCGATTGTTAGCGATCGCTATAGTGTCGCTAAAAATTCAATTCGCTAAAATAAACCGGGCGCCAAAATTTGCAAATTCCCGACAAACTACATGAATACTAGTATTTAAGGAGCTTTTCGTTCAGTGCTCGACTTCCAGTTTGTAATTTGGAAAAGATAAATATTTTTAAATCGTATATTTCTTTCAGTATCTGAAGGATTTCGCTAAAATTTCCCGCGCTAAAACCCCCTAAAATTGAAAAATCGCTAAAATTTCCCGGTGTCAAAATTACCCGTTTTACAGTATTTTAAAATGTCCGTTCGTAATGCTGAAAAAAGAGAGAATTTGACTCTTATTAATGCCATATACAATTTAATATGGGTTCCCATAGTTCTAAATGTGTTTGATTATGTAGAGTATACCCCAATGTAACATATTATAACTCCAACACCAACATATACCTCTTATTTTTTAATTTACAGACCTGTAACATCATTTTTCTCAAAAGTGCTATTTTATGTGAAAATTACCGTATAATTCTGATCCTGAATTAGCGCAAAATATTATAATCACATTTTCATTTATAATGATATATGTAGCTTTCACCATCAATAAACTTTGATGTAAAGTGTTTTATGTATTAATTAAGTATTTGAAAAAGGTTATGTTAGCATTTAATTTGTGACTTGTCAATGCTTTGCCTTGGCCCTTGTAGTGTATGATGATGTACGCATTGATTGCGAAGATAACAAAAAAAACTTTAGATCTAAAATAAAATTGATAAGTGGGCAAGTTCAGGCTTTGATATTATTAAAAATTAAGGTTTGGACCAAAGTCTATTCATGAAATCATGGTGTAAATTACAGATCATTTTAAATTAAAATAAATTTTAAAAATTAAATTACACTTAGAATTTAGCAAATATGGTATACATACAGCTAGTATAACATTAGATTTAGAATTCTTGACATGGCAACAACAAGTCTTGCATCTGGCCCTGTAGCCACCATTCCCTCTGTATGCATATCACAACCTTAAAAGGAATTGGGTAGTGTGGTACTGGGTATTGATGCAAGACTTAAACTAGCATGGGAGGAACAAGATGTATCCTTTGACAATCTAATTTCTTGTAACATTTGCAGGGATTTTTATAATAAAAGTGTACAAAATTGATACACCAATTTTAGTTAATCATCACAGAGTTATTATTCATAATCAATGATAATGAACTCGTCCATATTTATTCAATGTAAAACCAAAGTACATTGTATTTATTATGAATATTTCTGCAAAAGTTACTCTTTTCATAACAAGTATTAGTGCCATTATCTCTTATTTAAGGAAATAACTATTATAATCAAATAATACAGCGACGCGAACATGTCCCTATTCTGAGATATTTTGCATCTTATGTTGAAGAATCAAAAAGTGATAGAAAAAAGATCAGATGCATTTTTATAAATACTGTACTCCCACTAATATTTGACGCTATTATATTTTTTGTTTTGGGGATTTTGATTTTGATTTTGATTTTGGCTATTACGTATATATCACTAATTTTCAGTTTTTTGAAATTTTGAGGCTATTAATTTTTGCGGATTTGTCATACAAGATCACTCTTTTGACTTCGATATCAGCCATGGTTGTTCCTTCGCCAGATGATTTTGGCTTCTTATAAAATTTCGCGAATTATAACTATAAATTTAGCGTCTATTATATTTAGCGAATTTTCCAAAACTCACGAAAAGTGCGAAATATATTAGAAGCGCTTGAAAATTACTGGGAGTGCAGTATATATATCTTTTATTTATTGTGGATGTCTAGTCAGTAAACATTTTAATGATTTTCATGTTCCCATCACTGATTAGGGACTTATTCATGTCAAATAATACTTTATTAATATTATTATCAATGGCCATATTTACTCTACAATGGCTTATTGATGTGAGAAACCACATTTAGTTTGGCAGTGAATATAGCTCAAAGGCTGAAGCAATATATTTTAGATAGATGGTATATATGTTACATGTATGTTGCATGTAGTTGGCTAAGTATCAAAACTAATAATTCATTTGCAGAAAATATGCATAAATGCAGTGATTTACATCTGTACATAGGCTTACACAATATATATTTATTTGATCCAAATATTTTAGAAATAAAGAATCTAAAAAATGAAAATTCTTGTGTTTTTCTCTATTTCTATCCATCCATGTATCTTTCAGTTGTTTGTTTAACAAACCCAAAACTTAAATTACCTTTGAATGATTTGCATTTAGCATTTCAAGTAAGAATCTGAAGTCCTGCCATTTTCATTTTGAATTGGCCACCACTTTTGTTGCAGAAAAATCAAAATTCAACTTTCAATTCATGAAATTCACAACCAATTATATATCCCAAACTTAACACCATGCCATGACAAAGCATTACCTCACAAAATGTCACAACCTGGTTGCAGAAAAGTGCAACCAATTTTGCAGACATTCAAGATCAGTCAAAGGAAACTGGCTTTAACAATTTAACCACCAGAGGTAACAAGGCACAGGACGTGAACGAGATCACACCATCAAATAGGCAGACACTATGAACCAGGAAAACTGTTCTCCTATTATGTTTACAAATTTCAAGAACAAGAAAACAAGATGGCCGCCCAAAAGTTAATCAGCTCTAGTACTTGATATCCTCTATCATGTGTGTAAATTTGAAGGAAATCCGATGAGCGGATTTTCTGAAATGGCAATGACAAGATTTTTCGAAAAATCTTCAAAATGGCTGCCAGAAAACAAGATGGCCACCCAAAAGTTAATCAGCTCTAGTACTTGATATCCTCTATCATTTGTGTAAATTTGAAGGAAATCCGATGAGCGGTTTTCCTGAAATGGCGATGACAAGATTTTTCGAAAAACCTTCAAAATGGCCACCAGAAAACAAGATGGCCGCCAAAATTTTAATCAGCTCTAGTACTTGATATCCTCTATCATTTGTGAAAATTTGCAGGAAATCCAATGAGCGGTTTTCCTGAAATGGCGATGACAAGATTTTAAGAAAAACCTTCAAAATGGCCGCCAGGAAACAAGATGGCCACCCAAAAGTTAATCAGCTCTAGTACTTCATATGCTGTATCATCTCTGCGAATTTGGAGAAAATCTGATGAGCAGTTTTCCTTAAACGGCGATGACAAAAAAAGCGGGACGATCACGATCACGACCAGGACCACGATCACGACCACGATCACGACCACGATCACGACTAGTATGACGACTATATCCCACCGATGGTGTGATAAAAAACTGCTCCTGAGACCATTCCTACATGCTGTATTATGTATCTTATGTATAAAAGTTGGGTGAAGAATTACAATGTTGTCAGTGTATGTTCATGATAATACACAATGTGTCATATGATATAGTCCTGCTATATAAAACACTACACAGGAACCATTACAGGGTGACACAAAAATGCAACCCTCTAACTTTGGAAAATTTTAAAATGGAATTTTCTTGTGGAGATAGAATATTCAATGAATGAAAAGATGGTTTAATACATGATTATGATTTAGAGATGTAAGATTTTCCTGTTAGGCATGCTCTCATACAGGACCAGTAAAAACCTGTCTACACAAAAAGATTCCACCATTACTGAAACAGTGAATCCACTATAGCTTGCATTTAATTTGTGTTACCCTGTACATAACAAAACTGTTGTTTGGAGTCAACATGTATGTACAGTTGTACATGTATATTCTCTGTGTATCCAAATGTGGATTCTCTAGGTATCCAAATGTGGATTCTCTAGGTATCCAAATGTGGATCCTCTGCGTATCCAAATGTGGATTCTCTGTGTATCCAAATGTGGATTCTCTAGGTATCCAAAGAATGTGGATGTTTACACTTATCCAATTGACTCCAGACATTTAAATGTGGATTCCTTCATTTAGGATTATTGTTGGTATCTAAATGAGGATTATCTACAAGTACAGTAGGTGCACAAACATTTTGGACTCCTTTAAACATCCATATGGCCAATATGCCTATATACATGAATGCATATTTTCAAGCTTTATAAAAGTATGGATCGTTTTGAAATCAAATGACTGCTGTAATATATTATGGTATTGTTGTAAAATAAACATTTACAGTTTGTCTTTTAACATTATCAACATTATCTTCAATAATAATTAACAGCAACAATAACAACATTCCGGATGTTTCCTGCACACAACCACACAGTTCTAGCTAAAATAAATGTTATAAATAAGTATGATTTTCCACATCATGAATACATCTACCTCTCTGGTGATGCCACATGACCGACCAAGTATATATTGTCATATAAATGTCCTGCATATTCATCATTTAGTCCCTCCGTTGCGCGACAAGTGTTTCGAATAAATTCTCTTTTGGACATTTTGTTTTTCACCTGTGGGCTGCAGAGGTCTACTGAGAGCATTATTAATGAAAAACAGACGACAAACACAGCATCTGTAAATATAAAATGTATTATGTAAAATCATTATTGTACCTTGTCATTCATTACAGTAAATGGAGCTGGCATTATTATCTGAACACTGATATAAACAAGCCATTATATGGACATTTTGCATTGTACATGTACATTGACGATAGTGCCGATAAATGTATTTGTATATGACCATGGATGACAGTGCACTGACATTGACAATAGTATGCTAGACATTCTGCACTGGTATTAATTACAGTACATTGCACTGGCGGATCAAGAAGCTAGCAAGGGGGGTCACAATTTTATCAAGTGTGGAAAAAAAATGTCTGCTCTTGTTGGGAAAAAAGGCCCATTTTTAGGCCCTACAAAATGTTTGGGCCCTATAAATTTTTTCTGGCCTCCCCCTGGATCCGCCAGTGCATTGACATTAAATACAGCATATGAGCAGTGTACAATGAAACTCTTGACTGTATATGTGTATTGATGACAGAACATTGACAACACAACATTTAAGCAAAAGACATTTATGACAGTATAATGATATTGACAAACAATTGAAACACTAACCTCTGGACAGTCCCACATCAGGGTTGCATTCGCAGAACTGAGCTGAGAATTTTTCCATCATGCTGCTCAAGTAAGATCCCCTTTCAGTTGGAGCCTGGATATCACGGAAAAACTTACGCAGAGCATTTGGTAAAAACTGTTTCTGAAAGTTCTGTAGCTTCACCAGTAGGTCAAGTACATCGGGCCTGTAAAACAGTGTGATATTTAAGTCTCAGAGAGTGCTATTACAGGAAATGAAAGTTCAATCCTCTTAAAAAATTAATTATTACATTTAAAAAGAATCTAGTCCTCTCATTATACAAGTAAAAGTACATCAATTTTCAAAGATACAAATAATGCTCTGTAGGTTCTTGATAAACATGATTCACTGATTGGTTGATTGGATTCATTTCATATTCTATATTACCTTGTCTCCAAAAAGGACATCTTTTGTTTTCTATCCAGTTTGTAAGTTCCATGGAAAAATTTTGCAATAGACATAGCATCTTCAGTGACTATTTCATGTTTAAGTAGGTAGTCCATTCCCTAAAGGAAACAGTACAAGTTATAACAACAAAAAATGTCACTTCAAATCATGTACCTGCAAATGGTTACAAAGGTGTAAATGATTCAATACTGAATGTCATGCAATGTTTGTTAGGTTTTAAAGGTAACTTGAGGTCCTTTTGAAACTATACTACTGACTGAGAAAATGCTCTAAATTTCATTGTAACCAAAAATGCTCTCCTTGTTGTTTTTTGTGTTTCTGTACTATGCTATCAATGAGTACAACAATAGGATTGAATGCCTCTGGTCAGGACCCTTGTTGCAACCCTACAACTAGACCACAGCAGGAGATAGTCCAGTAAAACCGTGGCAAAAATTGACAAATGAAGGAAAAAATTGCAAAAGTATTTAAACATAGTGTAATCAATGCATAATGATGGGTTAAAAGACATATCAAAAATCTAGAAAAATCTAGAAAAATCTAAGTAGTGAAAAACTTCGAAAATCACCATTTATACCCCCTGGGGTACTTTTACGAGGGGGTACTATGATAAACCTTAATAATTCCTGTTATGTACCCCAGATCACATTCAAATTTTCAGGGATCATGCAGCTATACATAGTCAGTTACCATGCCAAGTTTGATATTGATTGGTGAAATGATTACCATAGCAACACAATTTGATTACACAAAAGCTGTAAATATTTTGGATAAATCCAAAGCTTCCTTAAAAATAAAAACAAATGTCTGCTTATCTTTTTAAGTTATTCCAAATGAACACAAATTTGACCTTTAAAACAAATTTAGGGAGTTTTCAATAAGATAACATGATCAAAATGATGAACTCGTGGATGTCTATGACTCTGGACTCTATTGATATTTGGTGACTACTGCTCAATCTACTAAAAAGTGGGTGTGGTACTTTTGGTTACATTTTCTAACAATTTCATTTTGACAGTATCAATCACAGTCATATTTATAGGGGTCATGAATACAGATATTATAATTTGATATGGTAAATCTGAACATGATTGGTCAAGTGGTTGCCATAGTAACACAACATAATGAATGCAAATAGTGGCTAGAGATCATTTCAAATAATCCTTATATCTTAACAGGTTGTTCCAATTACATTCACCTTTTAAGAGTTATTTTGTGTATGATTCTAACAAAATTAAGTTTGGATAATATTGATACATGGTTGTTATGGCAACTTAACTGATAATGCTGTTTGTTTTGACACATGCTTTGCTACTGTAGTATCTTCTTAGTACAAAATACGGCAGGCCATGTCTCTAACTCTCTGTCTGTTTGGATATCTCCTTCTAGACCCTTCAACCTTGAGTCATCATGCTTGATCAATATTCTAAGTGGATCAATGAGTATCCTATTAAGGTCATAGGTCAATATCTCGGTATTTGGCATTTTAAGATCCTGGGCGGATGCTGTGACCCTTGACGACCAATGATAAGGTAACCTGAAGTCAAGGTCAATGTTATGGGTCAAAGTCATTCCAAGGTCAATGATCAATTTCTAGGTGTTAACGTATTTTGGGGCCTTGTTGGCCCACTTGTATGGGGGTAGAGATTGCTAGTATAAGTAATGGAATTATGTTCAATTTGAATTGTTTTCACAATTCAAGTTTAAATGTACTTGTTAAAACATATTTATATCTACTTCCATTGTGTCTCAATCTTTCTGATATAAAGTTGTTTGTAAGAGGATGTATTCATCTCAGACTTTGGAGGCTGAGGCTGTACCCATCTTGAGACTGTACCATCTCAGATTCTGAAGGATGTATTCATCTTAAACTCTGGAGGCTGTACCATCTTAGATTCTGGAGGATGTATTCATCTTAGACTCTGGAGGATGTACCATCTTTGATTCTGGAGGATGTACCATCTTATATTCTGGAGGATGTATTCATTTTAGACTCTGGAGGCTGTACTCTCTTAGATTCTGGAAAATGTATTTATCTAAGACTCTGGAGGCTGTACTATCTTAAATTCTGGAGGAAGTATTCATCTCAGACTTTGGAGGCTGAGGCTGTACCTATCTTGAAACTCTTGAGACTGTACTATCTTAGATTCTGAAGGATGTATTCATCTTAAACTCTGGAGGCCGTACCATCTTAGATTCTGGAGGAAGTGCCATCTTAGAGTCTGGAGGATGTATTCATCTTAGACTCTGGAGGCTGTACTATCTTAGATTCTGGAAAATGTATTTATCTTAGACTCTGGAGGCTGTACTATCTTAAATTCTGGAGGAAGTATTCATCTCAGACTTTGGAGGCTGATGCTGTACCTATCTTGAAACTCTTGAGACTGTACTATATTAGATTCTGAAGGATGTATTCATCTTAAACTCTGGAGGCTGTACCATCTTAGATTCTGGAGGATGTGCCATCTTAGATTCTGGAGGATGTATTCATCTTAGACTCTGGAGACTGTACCATTTTAGATTCTTGAGGATGTATTCATCTTAGACTCTGGAGGCTGTACTATCTTAAATTCTGGAGGAAGTATTCATCTCAGACTTTGGAGGCTGAGGCTGTACCTATCTTGAGACTCTTGAGACTGTACTATCTTAGATTCTGAAGGATGTATTCATCTTAAACTCTGGAGACTGTACCATTTTAGATTCTTGAGGATGTATTCATCTTAGACTCTGGAGACTGTACCATTTTAGATTCTTGAGGATGTATTCATCTTAAACTCTGGAGACTGTACCATTTTAGATTCTTGAGGATGTATTCATCTTAGACTCTGGAGGCTGTACTATCTTAAATTCTGGAGGAAGTATTCATCTCAGACTTTGGAGGCTGATGCTGTACCTATCTTGAAACTCTTGAGACTGTACTATCTTAGATTCTGAAGGATGTATTCATCTTAAACTCTGGAGGCTGTACCATCTTAGATTCTGGAGGATGTGCCATCTTAGATTCTGGAGGATGTATTCATCTTAGACTCTGGAGACTGTACCATTTTAGATTCTTGAGGATGTATTCATCTTAGACTCTGGAGGCTGTACTATCTTAAATTCTGGAGGAAGTATTCATCTCAGACTTTGGAGGCTGAGGCTGTACCTATCTTGAGACTCTTGAGACTGTACTATCTTAGATTCTGAAGGATGTATTCATCTTAAACTCTGGAGACTGTACCATTTTAGATTCTTGAGGATGTATTCATCTTAGACTCTGGAGGCTGTACTATCTTAAATTCTGGAGGAAGTATTCATCTCAGACTTTGGAGGCTGAGGCTGTACCTATCTTGAAACTCTTGAGACTGTACTATCTTAGATTCCGAAGGATGTATTCATCTTAAACTCTGGAGGCTGTACCATCTCAGATTCTGAAGGATGTATTCATCTTAAACTCTGGAGGCTGTACCATCTTAGATTCTGGAGGATGTATTCATCTTAGACTCTGGAGGCTGTACTAAGATTCTGGAGGATGCATTCATCTTAGACTCTGGAGGATGTACCATCTTAGATTCTGGAGGATGTATTCATCTTAGACTCTGGAGGCTGTACTATCTTGAATTCTGGAGGATGTATTCATCTAAGACTTCAGAAGCTGTACCATCTTAGACTTTGGATACTGTACAATCTTAGATTCTTAAGGCTATAACCATCTATGACAATGGAGGCTGTACCATTTTAGTCTCTGGAGGCTGTTCCCATCTTAAGACTCTGGAGGCTGTGCCCAATTTAGAGTCTGTAGACTGTACCATCTTAGGCTCTGGTAACTGAACTATGTTATAGTCTAAGTGCTCTACCATATTAAGGCATGGAATGTTACTTTCTAGGGATTGAGCCGCATGTTCTCTGGGGATTGGAACACGGTGCAGAATTTTGAATCAACATTGCAACATACATGTACACTCTAAACATACATATGGTAGAATACTCTCATAGTCAATATATTGCAAATGACATGGATTGAATGGGACCGCAACTTAGTCAGCACCTCAGCTTATTTCAGCAGTTGAGGTTACATTATTTATATTTTCACTTATCAGGCTATTGCTGAAGCACTTAATAAAAAAATAAGAACATTTATGATAATTACAGGCACAACAATTAGATTGAAAAATATTTGAACTCATTTGATACTCCTTTTAAGTAAAAATGTAGTTAAGATAATAAGTAGGTGTCCCTGGCCCCGCCCACATTTTACATTAATCACGTTTTGTTACTATGACCTACTGTGAGTAATTTGTGACCCATTGTTACTATTGACCAATTATGATCACGATTACCATATCAATTGACGATAATGGGATTAATGACCCTATGAAAATGACTGTGATAATAATACCAACATAAAATTAATAGGAAATGCAACCAAAAAGTGCCACGCCCACTTTTCAATTCACCCCTGCCCCATGATGTTAGAATTGTCAAAATTAAGAACATAAATATATTCTGTTCATCTACAAAATTATATTTTATTGTATTTTACACACCATTGGCACAATAATATGTTGAATATTTGGTTGATATACCTCTTATTTTAAAAGGATGATGTTGCTCTCATCCTGACCCTAAAACTGGCCCTAGAAAATGAACAAATTATAAGAACTTAAATAAATTTTTTCTGTCAAACAAATTAACCTAAAGTACTGATATTCATAGTGTCTAATGTCTGATAGTAGGACAACTCTCATGAGTTTTTAAAAGTCATCACTATGTCTAATGATCAAATTATAGGCATTTATAGAGAAAAATGGGTGAAAAAAGCATACAAGGTAAGGTCATGAACACACACAAAAATGAAATTTTCTCAATATTTTCAAACTTTCTTCTATGAAACTATCAATTTTGATATCTTTCTTATCCATACATGAAAAAACAAGGGACACTTTAAAAAGAAAGTAGTGTTATAATTTTTTAAAGATAAATTGTTGTCATTTTGGGGGGTCATTGAGGGGGGTATCTTCAGCATGAAAATTCATAGTCTTCCACTACTTAGATTTTTCTAGATTTTTGATATGTTTTTTTACTTATCAAGACACATTGATTTCACCAGGTTTAAAAACTTTTGCAATTTTTTCCTTTATTTTTGTGTTTTTTACTGGACTAAGAGGCCAATGCCGCAAAACATATTTCACATAGGTTCTGGGCCGATATAAAGATGGCAGCACCAACAGAATCCAGTATTATCTTTTTCTCTCAGATGCTCAAAGAGTTGTTGACGGAGTTTTTCAATTTCAATTTACGTCAACTTAACGCTATTCCCAATGTAAAAAATAGCTAGATATAAAGGAAACATATGGAATGACATACCAAGCACATAAAATCAATATGTAATGTCACTGAGGGGCTGACACATCATTAAACAGCACTGTCCCACTTTGCGAAATTGGCCATGGCAGGAATCAAGTTTTAATTGATTTGGCACATGCGCAAAGCATACAATTGGTACTTGCCGATTTTTAGCGAAGCCTTTAAAAATATGCATATCATTCTAGAAATTTTCTAAAAATACGAAAAAAGCAATAGATACATTTTAGATGTTGATGTTTGAGAATAAACATCCAACCGAAGAGAGAAGTGAATAATTCCTACTTCCGGAAATGAAATCTGCAATGGCCATTTACGCAAAGCGCAACTTTGCTATTCTTAAGTAAATTATGCCTTTTTCAGTGAATGTTTGATCGACACTACACGCTTGATATACATATGGATATGTCTTTTATGAAACAGTACGGCTGTTTCACAAGAACAATCGACCTTTAGGGGCCGGGCGAAATGTGGATTTTAAAAGTACCACTTCGGCTCCCATTGAGTACCTGAAGAGAATATTTATAAATATACACAGACCTATTAGCATGCCATCTTTATTTAAAAATTATTTCTATCGACCTTAGCCTATGATGTTTCATTATATACCTCGTCATTTTGGACATACCATGATAAAAATAATGAGGAAATATTAGTGTGGCAGTGAGTAGTTTTGTCTCCTTTTGGAAAAATCTACACCCATGATGTGATGTGAAACCATATACAGTATTAAATTCTTTCTTGTGACTAATATGCCATTGTAATGACATCATAGAGTCAGTATAACTCACTGGTATTTGTGTTATCAGAAAAATCAATTTTTCCTAGAAATGGCGGCCATTTCTTCTCAAGGAAGATTGACTACCAGGGTTCCAACTCGATATTCTGCCATATATGGAGTTATATTGTGATTTCCAAATTCAAAATTAAACAGTCACCATTTTTCACTTCAGAATTTGAATTGCGAGTTTTGGTCTTATTTCCGAACAAAATATTTCAAAACACACAAGAAATTATCAAGATTTTGGATAGCTGATTATGAATTGATAGCCAGTTATAATATCAAACAATAAAGACATTTAGTTGTTGTCACTGTTATAGCATGGAAATATCAGCTTATCAAATTGCTTGGAGATTAAAAATATAGAGATGGAACCCTGAGATTCAATTCCATTTCTTCTTGACCAGGGTTCTATGCCAAATCTGACAATTGGCATTTCAGTTATAGAAAAATATATTTTTTATGAAATAAGGCAGCCATTTTTAATTCAGCAGTCATTTTGAAAATTCCTCTCTTTACAATGTACATGTAATTGTATTTGAATTAGAGCTAACTTTTGATGCAGCCTTACCAAATCAGGATAGGTTTATAACATGACAAAATGTAACCACCTAGTTAATTGCTCACAATATTATGAGTTCAATCTTAAGTCAGATTTGAATTTTTGAGAACTTAAAGATGATTTTGAAAAAATAATATGGTCAATTTGAAGCAAAATGAAAAAAGACCCTTTTGACCTTGAGAATGTCATTGAAGATGAAATATTTTTTGACCTTAAGAATGTCATTGAGGTCAAATCTATAGTCAGATTTGAACTGTTGAAAACTTGTAGATGATGAAAAAATGGTCAAGTTGAAAAAATACCTTTTTGACCTTGAGAAGGTCATTGAAGGTCAAATCTCAAATTTAAAGTCAGATTTGAACTTCTGATAACTTGTAGGTGATTTTGAAAAAAATTGGAAGCAAGTTGAAAATACCTTTTTTGTCCTTGAAAAGGTCATTGAAGGTTTTTGGTTTTGACATAAAAACCCAGATACTCTACCAGAATTTGACTTATTTGTCAGGCCTGTCAAATGGGGATGGGGAGTGCACCCCTTTCAAATTTTCTAAGAAAAACAAACTTACCTGTTTCCAGTCAGCATTGAAGGTCAGACAACCCTCATCCAGTAGCAGATAAAGTTTCTTGAAGGAGAACCTGGGAGAATTTTTCCATACAGAATACTGATGGCAGCTGGTCCAAGAGGCCTTGCATAAACTGAAATTACACACAACATTTTAGAGATGCTGTTTGGGAATACTATGTTCATTCTGTTATCTTGTTACTGACAAAATTGCCATTTTGTGTTTTAGCACTGCACTTTAGACATGGCTGTACCAGCACAAATATCTTTGTGATAAAGCCACACCAAAACACTCTGACAACGGTAAAGTCAGATTCCGTTGTCACAAATTGCGGCCACAGGTTCATACAGATTCGCTTTTCATTAACTGAATGTTTAATAGAGCACCTAGGTTAAATTCCTTTGGAACAACAATCAATCAAAGTGTCTTTCTATTCATTGTATAGTTAAACATGTCCTATCATCAAAATGACAAAATATGACAGAGGACATTGGAATCTGTATAAATGACAAAAGTAAATAGGGGTCAAATGTAATTTAAAATCGGGATGACATATGTAATATTTGACAGTGGTATTTATAAAGACAATGGTAAAGTATCTAGTTCATGTTGTCATTTTCCTATGTTCCAATACAATGCATTCTGAACAGTTTACATATGGGCAGTATCCCTCATCCCTGAGATTTTCCAATGCCATTATTTATATTGATTTGTCAAATTAACAACCAAGATGGTTGAAAATTACCATTAGCTTCATAAAATTATATACTGTAACTTACCCTTGCCACAATATATCAACTTGTCCTAGATCCTTCCATACACAACCTGCCAAACACAGATCTGTGGCATCTAATTTTGACAATACTAAAAGTGCCAGCTCCGGTGGTAACTGTGCAATGTCAGGAAATTTTTCTGTAACGGCCATCCCATTTTTCTGTTGATTCAGTTTTACTTGGCGTTCAAATTCATTGACTTCAGAAAGAAGTCTTGGTAGATATTGACCCATTTTTGTAATTTATATGTTATAAGTGATAAGTTTAACAATATACATAGAAGTAAATGTATCTGCAGTGAGGGTCGTCACCTCCATCTCAATGAAAAATCATGTCTGAAAAACACAAGATAATACCTGGGATTAACACACATGTATTTCTTGACAAAGACATACTAATATAAATTGTGTAGATGCTTTTTCTATATACTGTATGTCTTCGTTTAGAAAAATACATCAAATGAGAGTCAGTAATTTTGTAATCGGAAATCTCTTATTTGCCTAAAAATTTTACGAGGAACATAAATGTTTTAAATTCATGTTGTGGCTAATAATGATGGTATTTAGGGGTCTATTTCAGTATTTTTGAAATATGAACATCAACTTCAAATTATTTTTCTGAGCTACAAATGTAGTAACATATCAATTGATTTTTTAAGCTTAGGGAAAAAATTGGAACATATAAGACTAAGCTTCAATAAGAACATAAAGTTTTTACTTTTACTAAAAAATCTTTATACGAGGGGTGATCAATAAGTAATAGACGCTTTTTTACACAGATACACAGATTTTATGGACCAATCCCTTTGATTTTCCTATCAGTGATATATCATTCAATTATCTATCAATTCTGAAGATTTGAAGACAAAATATATAATACATGTTGATATATCCTTATTTCCACACAAGGAGGTACAGGTACCCCGGGACCGACATTTACGTCACATATTCAGTTTTTAGCCAGTTTGGCACATTTCAATTACATTTAAACTTTTTTTATATGCAACAAGTGTTGTGTTGTTTGAAATATTTTGCTGACTGGTTACACATAAACAGTAAGTGATGTGATGTCAGAGTGTTGTATGGTCAGGGTTTGCAGGTCAATTTGAGGAAGCATTGTGGAAGAAGGGGTTGGTGAGAGAAGGAAACAACCCACTCCATATGGACAATTCACCTGCCCACATATCTCAAAATGTTCAGAAAACAATATCCCTGGACCTCAAAATTGAGCCCTTGGCCAATGCACCATATTGTCCAGATCTGCCCACATGTGACTTATTTATTCCTATACTACTTATTTCTATAGAGAAGGGACGCAGGTTTATTGACATTGATGAAATAAAACAACCCGTGCAACTGCATCTTGCTACCATGTCAGAGAATGGATTCAGCCTTGTCTCACAATCTTGAGTTATGAGGAATTGTGTACATGTAGCACTTGATGGAACCTATGTAGAGGGCCCTGTAGAATGAATGTGGCATGAATATTGAATACCACACAGTGATGATAAAATATTCAAAATCAACCATGGCATAACAAAATGGGGTAATTCATGACCATAATGGTTTGTTTTGTTCAGCCTGCATTCAACTGCATTGCATGTTAAACAAGCTAAAATAGCTTCAGAATGTTTGATGTCATGTCGGTCCCGGGGTACCTATACATCCTTCACGGAAATAAAGATATATCAAAATATATTACATGTTTTGTTTTCAAATCTTCAGAGTTGATAGATAATTGAATGATTGAAAATTGAAGGTATTGGTCAATAAAAAGCATCCGTGTAAAAAAGCGTCCATTACTTATTGATCACCCCTCGTATATCTCTGCTCTGAGGTTCAAAATATCCACCCACATACATATATATCTAGGGTTCTTATCCTTAAAATATGGACACACATTTAAGGTTTTGCCTTCAAACATAGGACCACTTCTTTGGATTTTTTCAGAAATCTGGATCGGGACCTTCATTCTCTGAGATTTTCCCAATAATTTGAGGAGTTTCCTTGCAAAAATTGTTACCTGGGCTGACAAACACGTCTAGTGAGATCATAAAAAGTGTCACCCACATCTAAGGAAAAAATTATTGACCCACATCTTGTGCGAAATGGCACCACCTAGTTGCTCTCAATATTATGAGTTCAATCTAAAAGGGTGACGCATATCGTTTAGCAAATCGAACGCTCGTTTCTGGTGTTGCTCACCGTTTAGTATAAAAGGCCCGATCCCGGAATAATACTGAGGGGTTCACAACTCGAGGTTGTTGTGTCAACACTTCTTACTGTTATATAGCATTTGTATAATATTGATCGTCACATATTTATATATTGCTGGTGAAAGCTATTTCTGCAGGTTTTCTGCTGGTGACTGAGTGTGGCCATAGAATATCAATAAGACACTCTTTGTTGTTTTGAATTTGCCTTTAAATTGCCCAGCCGGGTTATTTTTATTGATGTAAACATTCACCTTCATTGTTCTTTACACGAAGTCCTAGTTCATGGAATAGTCTACTTCGCATGATACTTATTCTTTATAGCAGGGCTTGCATTAACGGCGTCCCGTACATGTTAAGGACTCAAAAATAATTTGGAGGACGCAAAAATTGAAAATATCTAATTAATTTAAAAACAAATAATTATGATCTCTCACCTTTATTTGAATCGTAAATAAGGCTCAACATGTTAAATATTTACAAATAATCATGATTCTCTCGAATTTTTTCGACTTTGTTTATTTTTAGATTTGAAACCATGACAAGCGACAGTTTTTCCTATTCCGAAACAAAAATTAGGTTATTCATGAAATAAAATGTATTCATTGTCGAATGAACGAACATGCATTTATTCAGTCCGTACTTAACGTTTACTTCCGTTTAAATTTCGCGGCAAGAAATCAAAAACTGAAAGGTGTTTTGGTAAAAAATGGTTTTAAAATAAAGTTATACCTCAAAACAGGCTAGAAATAGGGGACACACTTTTTTTTTCAAAGGACACACTTTTAAAAAAAAATTGCGTCCTTGGGACTCACAAATTTTCTAACCTAATGCAAGCGCTGTTATAGTGAAATAAAATTACTCTGATTTCCACCATTTTCCTGTCGACTATGCTGCCATCTATATGTAAGCTTATTGAGAACAGACAAAAACTGGACGACTTCTATTTTAAATGAAAATATTCAATATCTCATCAACAAGACAATCTGTTACCATTTCAATTCATGAAATACATGACAGTTTTTAGAATATTACTTAAATTCATTAAACACCTGCTATAATTTTTACAATAGTCCATGGTGTTCCAGATGGAATTCTTGTAGAGACTCCAGTAAGTACTTCTCTCACTGGCGGATCTGGGTGGGTGGGCCCAAAACAAAATTTGGGAAAAAAAGGCCTTAAAGTCCCAAAAAGGGGGTCTTTTTGGACATTACTGGGCCTTGTAAGGCCTTATTTTTTAGTTTCAGGCCAAATTTTGAAGAAAATGGGCATCAAAATTTCGGCCCACTTTTCGGTTATCACGCGGTACAAACTTCGACCGTTAATTTGAATTTCTGTTAGTTCCCAGATCCGCCCCTGAATCTGTGCGCGGATTTAGTCATGAACTACCCTCTGCCTAGTATAGACTTTATTACAGGTTAGCAGCCCCGCCCAGAAGATTGGTGGCCATTGGTGCCTGAGACAGCCCAGGTAATAAATCATTCAAAATCGACCACACTAACCCTTACTCAACCAATCAGTGAAGTTGAAGGAACATGTGCTACAGTCGGGGACATAAATAAATGACAGGTGGATTTGCTGAAGTGAGGATTTCCCATGTTAAAAATAAGAGAATTTACAAGAGGCCATACATCAGTGGATGAGATTATACAAAATGTAAAATATACAAATTTTAAGGGATATATATCTAGACAATATTGGAAATTATGGGCTTTCAGACCACCATAATTAGGAAATGGTGATCGAAAATCGACCTGTCATTTATTTTTGTCCCCAACTGTAAATACATGCTCATAACTAACTATGCGGTGATGTCGGACGAAATGACCACATAGAAAGTCGTCCGTATTTTCGACGACGAACTCTGATTGGCTCGGTGAGCGAAGACGAACGAAAGAGCGAAGACGAACGAATGCAAAGGGTAAGTGCAAATGCAAAGGTACATGTTGTCCCCGGATGTAGTATAAAACTTAAACTCATGAACTCCCAAAAAGCTAAACTAAGCCTGTCTGTCTAGTCTAATCAAATTAGCATAAAGAAACTCACCGAAATTTACGTGTGCATACCTATGGTACTTCATGGATTTGTGAGGAGGATGACCGACGTGTGATCTAAGAGCCAAACATAGTTATTGATGACTAAAACCCCAGTTTGTTGTCAAAATTGACGTGGAGGTCCAATGGTTAAATTCTACTCCGAGTCATTTTGTAAGAGGCTTTTTGATTGGTCTCATTTATTAACTTCTTTTAATTATTTTAATCTAGTCACTTGTATTACAGAAATATTGTCAATTCAACTTTATGCATCGTTTATTAAAATTAATTATTATTACTGATAATTCATATTTAATTTTTAATAAGATGCTTTTTTAAAATAAAGTTTATTCACCGCACCTAATTGGTCATGAACCAATCAAATCATTTGTTCCAAATCTGCAAATATAAACAGCGGGAGAGGAGAACTTTCCAAGTTTCGCATGTCAATATTCTGATTTCAGGTATATCTCCTATTATTCAGCATGTCATGTAAACTATTTATTTTACTATAAAGTCTTAGGTAAGATTCCTACGGAAGAGTCAGTTTTAGTACTGTTTGCTTTATCACATCTTGAAGTCAATGGGGTTACTCCACAGTGAGCATGAACCATCAATCTTCATTATTCAGCATTATATTATGTTAGAATATTAGCCTAGATAGATGGTGCTGACTATGGGTTACACTAACAGCACAGACCTGACAGTGACAGGTCTATACTTTTGGCTTTAGAGACGGAAGAACTTTTTTCCTGAAGCACTCGTTGGCAGGTGTGACATGTGTCGGCAATCATCAGGGGGTGCGATTTTGGGCAGTTGCCAGTTACTGTACATCACTGCTGAGACTAACTACAGTAAGGTGTTGTCTTGATGTGCCATATCGTACATCGATGCATCGGCAATTTTCAGCAGTAAACATCGATGCATTATCTGAGGTGAACCCTGTACCCCCCATTTACTATTATACAGGGTTCACCCCAGATAATTTAAAAAAATTGACATTGTACAGGGTGTCCCGAAAGTATGGGCCCCCCCTCCTAGGTGGACACATACCAGTGCCGTGATAGTATGTGTCATATATCATTTTAAAGCTTATCCAAAGTTACATTGATTCGCCAAGTATCATGGTTCAACTCTCAAATATTAAAAAATTACAGGCATTTAAAAATTTTGTGTTTGGTCAAAATTAAGTTCAATTTTACACCAAATCACTAGTCAATGTGTCCTCCTGGGCCATCTTTACAGCAGCAATGTTTTTCGGGTTGGAAAGATATTGAGTTGGAAAAAGAGAACGGTGAGGGTAGAAACTCTAAAGAAACTCTTCTAAAGTCCCTGAACAGGTTTTAAGAGGGTTATAAAATTCCAAACCCCCTTTTGAAGGGCTTTAAAGGTCATATCTGAAAATAATTACTTCTGTTAACATGGCCAAAGGGGGACACATTGACTAGTAATGTGGTGTAAAATTGAACTTTATTTTGACAAAACACTAACTTTTAAAATGGCTGTAACTTTTTCCCATTTGGGAGTTAAACCATGATACACAGCAAATCAATGTGACTTTGGATAAGCTTTAAAATGATATATGACACTTACTATGAGGACACTGGAATATGTCTGCCTAGGGGGGGCCCCATACTTTCGGGACACCCTGTATATAATCTTTCAGCAAATTTTACAAAAATTGTTTTTTTTTGTATGGGTGGGGTATGCGATCGCACCCTGGCTACTTCGGTCAATGTGTGTTTCGACTTTTTGAACACCAGGGTGCCATATTCCAAATAAAATGTTATTTGTAGGGGAATGTTCAGTCTCATTATTGCCATAATTATGATGAATTCCATTTTATATTAAATTATCAACATGTATGCAGATAATCATGTTCTTATTTTTGGGTTATTTCTTAAAATCATCCATGAAAAGCACAAAAGAGTTCCTTGGAATGTGTATGTGTATTCTGAAAACTTAGGTCAATGCTTATGGAAGTTGAAAGTCCATGTTAATACCTATGTGCCGCCCCTTGGCCATTTTGAAAAATGGCTGCCATTTTTGCTATATACTTTGTTTGTAAAAATGCCAGCCATGGCTGTTCGATGGGAATTGCTACGCTTTGGCGTTGCCGTTGTCTAGTTATGTCACCACCAAAAGTTGTGACATATTGTTATGGTCTCCGTTTTTTTTATGTCACCACCAAAAGTGGTGACATATTGTTATGGTCTCCGTTTTTTTGCAACGGCGGTTGGAGGTTGGCGTCCGGCGTCTGTAACAATTTCTTACAACTTCCTATAACTTAACAAATACTGTTTAGACTGACTTCAATTTTTTTCTAAATCATCTACATGTTCTCAGAAGTTCAAATCTGACTTTAGATTTGACATTGTACCTTCAATGACCTTCTCAAGGTCAAAAAGGTCTTTTTTCAACTTGCTTCACATTGACTAAATTTTTTTTCAAAATCATCTACATGTTCTCAGAAATTCAAATCTGACTTTAGATTTGACTTAAGATTTGACATTTGACCTTCAAATCTGACTTTAGATTTGACATTTGACCTTCAATGACCTTCTGAAGGTCAAAAAAGGTCAAAAAGGTCTGTTTTCAACTTGCTTCAAATTGACTAAATTTTTTTTTCAAAATCATCTACGTGTTCTCAGAAATTCAAATCTGACTTAAGATTTGACTTAAGATTTGACATTTGACCTTCAATGACCTTCTCAAGGTCAAAAAGGTCAAAAAGGTCTGTGCTTCAAATTGACTAAAATTTTTTTTCAAAATCATCTACGTGTTCTCAGAAATTCAAATCTGACTTAGGATTTGATATTTGACCTTCAATGACCTTCTCAAGGTCAAAAAAGGTCAAAAAGGTCTGTTTTCAACTTGCTTCAAATTGACTAAAACATTTTTTCAAAATCATCTACGTGTTCTCAGAAATTCAAATCTGACTTTAGATTTGACTTAAGATTTGACATTTAACCTTCAATGACCTTCTCAAAGTCAAAAAAGGTCAAAAAGGTCTTTTTTCAACTTGCTTCAAATTGGCTAATTTTTTTTTTCAAAATCATCTACCTGTTCTCAGAAATTCAAATCTGACTTTAGATTTGACATTTGACCTTCAATGACCTTCTCAATGTCAAAAAAGGTCAAAAAGGTATTTTTTCATCTTGCTTCAAATTGACTAAATTTTTTTTTTCAAAATCATCTACATGTTCTCAGAAATTCAAATCTGACTTTATTGTTATGGTCTCCGTTTTTTTGCGACGGCGGTTGGAGGTTGGCGTCCGGCGTCCGGCGTCTGTAACAATTTCTTACAACTTCCTATAACTTAACAAATACTGTTTAGACTGACTTCACTTTTTTTCTAAATCATCTACATGTTCTCAGAAGTTCAAATCTGACTTTAGATTTGACATTTGACCTTCAATGACCTTCTCAAGGTCAAAAGGGTCTTTTTTCAACTTGCTTCACATTGACTAAATTTTTTTTCAAATCATCTACATGTTCTCAGAAATTCAAATCTGACTTTAGATTTGACATTTGACCTTCAAATCTGACTTTAGATTTGACATTTGACCTTCAAATCTGACTTTAGATTTGACATTTGACCTTCAAATCTGACTTTAGATTTGACATTTGACCTTCAATGACCTTCTGAAGGTCAAAAAAGGTCAAAAAGGTCTGTTTTCAACTTGCTTCAAATTGACTAAATTTTTTTTTCAAAATCATCTACGTGTTCTCAGAAATTCAAATCTGACTTAGGATTTGACTTAAGATTTGACATTTGACCTTCAATGACCTTCTCAAGGTCAAAAAAGGTCAAAAAGGTCTGTTTTCAACTTGCTTCAAATTGACTAAAACATTTTTTCAAAATCATCTACGTGTTCTCAGAAATTCAAATCTGACTTTAGATTTGACTTAAGATTTGACATTTGACCTTCAATGACCTTCTCAAAGTCAAAAAAGGTCAAAAGGGTCTTTTTTCAACTTGCTTCAAATTGACTAAATTTTTTTTTCAAAATCATCTACATGTTCTCAGAAATTCAAATCTGACTTTAGATTTGACATTTGACCTTCAATGACCTTCTCAATGTCAAAAAAGGTCAAAAAGGTATTTTTTCCTCTTGCTTCAAATTGATTAAATTTTTTTTTCAAAATCATCTACATGTTCTCAGAAATTCAAATATGACTTTATATTTGACATTTGACCTTCAATGACCTTCTCAAGGTAAAAAAAGGTCAAAAAGGTCTTTTTTCAACTTGCTTCAAATTGGCTAATTTTTTTTTCAAAATCATCTACATATTCTCAGAAATTCAAATCTGACTTTATTGTTATGGTCTCCGTTTTTTTGCGACGGCGGTTGGAGGTTGGCGTCCGGCGTCTGTAACAATTTCTTACAACTTCCTATAACTTAACAAATACTGTTTAGACTGACTTCAATTTTTTTCTAAATCATCTACATGTTCTCAGAAGTTCAAATCTGACTTAAGATTTGACATTTGACCTTCAATGACCTTCTCAAGGTCAAAAAGGTCTTTTTTCAACTTGCTTCACATTGACTAAATTTTTTTTCAAATCATCTACATGTTCTCAGAAATTCAAATCTGACTTTAGATTTGACTTTAGATTTGACATTTGACCTTCAAATCTGACTTTAGATTTGACATTTGACCTTCAAATCTGACTTTAGATTTGACATTTGACCTTCAATGACCTTCTCAATGTCAAAAAAGGTCAAAAAGGTATTTTTTCATCTTGCTTCAAATTGACTAAATTTTTTTTTCAAAATCATCTACATGTTCTCAGAAATTCAAATATGACTTTATATTTGACATTTGACCTTCAATGACCTTCTCAAGGTCAAAAAAGGTCAAAAAGGTCTTTTTTCAACTTGCTTCAAATTGGCTAATTTTTTTTTCAAAATCATCTACATATTCTGAGAAATTCAAATCTGACTTTATTGTTATGGTCTCCGTTTTTTTGCGACGGCGGTTGGAGGTTGGCGTCCGGCGTCTGTAACAATTTCTTACAACTTCCTATAACTTAACAAATACTGTTTAGACTGACTTCAATTTTTTTCTAAATCATCTACATGTTCTCAGAAGTTCAAATCTGACTTTAGATTTGACCTTCAATGACCTTCTCAAGGTCAAACAGGTCTTTTTTCAACTTGCTTCACATTGACTAAATTTTTTTTCAAATCATCTACATGTTCTCAGAAATTCAAATCTGACTTTAGATTTGACTTTAGATTTGACATTTGACCTTCAAATCTGACTTTAGATTTGACATTTGACCTTCAAATCTGACTTTAGATTTGACATTTGACCTTCAATGACCTTCTGAAGGTCAAAAAAGGTCAAAAAGGTCTGTTTTCAACTTGCTTCAAATTGACTAAATTTTTTTTTCAAAATCATCTACGTATTCTCAGAAATTCAAATCTGACTTAAGATTTGACTTAAGATTTGACATTTGACCTTCAATGACCTTCTCAAGGTAAAAAAAGGTCAAAAAGGTCTGTGCTTCTAATTGACTAAATTTTTTTTTTCAAAATCATCTACGTGTTCTCAGAAATTCAAATCTGACTTAGGATTTGACTTAAGATTTGACATTTGACTTAAGATTTGACATTTGACCTTCAGTGACCTTCTCAAGGTAAAAAAAGGTCAAAAAGGTCTGTTTTCAACTTGCTTCAAATTGACTAAAACATTTTTTCAAAATCATCTACGTGTTCTCAGAAATTCAAATCTGACTTAAGATTTGACTTACGATTTGACATTTGACCTTCAGTGACCTTCTCAAGGTCAAAAAAGGTCAAAAAGGTCTTTTTTCAACTTGCTTCAAATTGACTAAATTTTTTTTCAAAATCATCTACATGTTCTCAGAAATTCAAATCTGACTTTAGATTTGACATTTGACCTTCAATGGCCTTCTCAATGTCAAAAAAGGTCAAAAAGGTATTTTTTCATCTTGCTTCAAATTGACTAAATTTTTTTTTCAAAATCATCTACATGTTCTCAGAAATTCAAATATGACTTTAGATTTGACTTAAGATTTGACATTTGACCTTCAATGACCTTCTCAAGGTCAAAAAAGGTCAAAAAGGTGTTTTTTCAACTTGCTTCAAATTGACTAATTTTTTTTTTCAAAATCATCTACATGTTCTCAGAAATTCAAATCTGACTTTAGATTTGACATTTGACCTTTAATGACCTTCTCAAGGTCAAAAAAGGTCAAAAAGGTCTGTTTTCAACTTGCTTCAAATTGACTAATTTTTTTTTTCAAAATCATCTTCATGTTCTCAGAAATTCAAATCTGACTTTAGATTTGACATTTACCTTTAATGACCTTCTCAAGGTCAAAAAAGGTCAAAAAGGTCTGTTTTCAACTTGCTTCAAATTGACCAATTTTTTTTCAAAATCATCTACATCTTTTCTGAAGTTCAAATTTGACTTTATAAGTTCTCAGAAGTTCAAATCTGACTTTAGATTTGACCTTTGACCTTCAAATCTGACTTTAGATTTGACCTTTGACCTTCAAATCTGACTTTAGATTTGACCTTTGACCTTCAATGACCTTCTCAAGGTCAAAAAGGTCTTTTTTCAACTTGCTTCAAATTGACTAATTTTTTTTTCAAAATCATCTACATGTTCTCAGAAGTTCAAATCTGACTTTAGATTTGACATTTGACCTTCAATGACCTTTTCAAGGTCAAAAAGGTCTTTTTTCATCTTGCTTCAAATTTACTTAATTTTTTTTCAAAATCATCTACATGTTCTCAGAAGTTCAAATCTGACTTCACATTTGACATTTGACCTTCAATGACCTTTTCAAGGTCAAAAAGGTCTTTTTTCATCTTGCTTCAAATTTACTTAATTTTTTTTTCAAAATCATCTACATGTTCTCAGAAGTTCAAATCTGACTTTACATTTGACATTTGACCTTCAATGACCTTCTCAATGTCAAAAAAAGTCAAAGAGGTATTTTTTCAACTTGCTTCAGATTGAACAATTTCTTTTTTCAAAATCATCTACAAGATCCCAGAAGCTCAAATCTTCAAAAACCTTCTTAAGGTCAAAAGGTATTTTCCAACTTGCTTTAAATTGACCAAATTGTTTTAGGTGGTGACATTTTGTCATGTTAATGCCTTGTTAAAATCTGCGTTGGGTTCTGCCCCTGATCACTGCGTCTTGTTCATTTATTATTGAATGTTCGTATTATTTTGGATCAGGGATAATTTATTAGTTCACATTGGTGAGTTACTATAATTGCCAACATTTCTGTCTGTCCGTACGTTGATATCACTTTTATGTTAAATATCCAAAAGTATCATATGAGACCAATCATGCAAATAATGAATGAGTTATTACACTTTACACTATTTTTTGGCCCACCCTGTACATGTTAACAATAATGTCTACACATAGAACATACTTTTCCCTTGTTGGCCCAGTACTCATAGTGCTATTTATTATTGTTGTCAGGAGTCTTTATAATTAATAACCATTATTCATGTCACTGTCTATTCTAGCTATTCTACTCACAAAATCGTTTGTCAATGTGGTATCTATTAGTACCAGTATCTAGAAAAATATACCATATATGTGATTGGGAGTAGACTATTATGTGAAAAGGGGAATATAAGGCTTTGGGTTAGACTTGTAATGAGTATAAGGCCTCCTAGCTATACTAATCATATGCTAGTGAACCCATGTTCTTCTCTTCTGCCTCCGCCCCTTTCTCAAGTTTTCTTTCAAAAGTGGACCCATATCCATGACTTGTCCTCAAGACATAGAGCCACTTCTATGATTTTTTAATTTGGGTAAAAATTATGGAGCGACATCTATGGATTTTATTGTGTTATGTTAACACAGTCCTAGGGTTTGGAAGTGGTGACAATACTTTCCAACTTATTGTGGATGGTGTTCTGTGAACAGTGTCTGTAACAAATGGTATTTGGTAGCTGGCATTTGTAACAAATTGGCCTTTGCCGAGCGCCAATGGCATCAGTAACACATGACAGGTGGTGGCAATGGCATCAGTAACACATGACAGGTGGTGGCAATGGCATCAGTAACACATGACAGGTGGTGGCAATGGCATCAGTAACACATGACAGGTGGTGGCAATGGCATCAGTAACACATGACAGGTGGTGGCAATGACATCAGTAACACATGACAGGTGGTGGCAATGGCATCAGTAACACATGACAGGTGGTGGCAATGGCATCAGTAACACATGACAGGTGGTGGCAATGGCATCAGTAACACATGACAGGTGGTGGCAATGGCATCAGTAACACATGACAGGTGGTGGCAATGCCATCAGTAACGCATGACAGGTGGTGGCAGTGGCATCAGTAACGCATGACAGGTGGTGGCAATGGCATCAGTAACACATGACAGGCGGTGGCATTTTGCATGTTAAATAACGCCTTGTTTATCTTTAATTTTTGGATTTGTTGAGTTGCTATTTCACACTGAGCACTGATATTCGATTACAGGAAAATATTTAAAGTTCAACTTCTACACTCATTCATCTATTATTTGCTAGAATAGACAATTAAGAATGTTATAATCTGATTGAACATTTACAAAATACTTTTCAGAACAGACACAGCTTCCACAAGATGACAACTGGAGACATAAAGAACAACATTAGAAAGTTACAACTGTCACTAAAACTCGCAAAGTATCCAGAAACAGATGATCTGGATATCACTAGGTATATTTCATCATCTTATACCTGTACATGTTATGAAATACAAAACATTCTCAGAGAAAATTAAAAACTACATGAATATAAAATCAAAAGGTATATAATGGTAACTTAAAAACAAAGGATATTTGATGGTTACTTTTATACGAGGAACTTATAAGATGGTACCTTTTATAAAAAGGGACATTTTAGGAGTAGCTTATTTATTCTTGAGACATTCATTTTGGTAACCTTTATACAGAAACATTTGATTTAGTAACTTTTTAACAAGAACTTTTGCGGCAAATGACATTATAGAAAAGTTATATTTGCAATACAATCATATGTCAAGTAAGATTTTAAAGAGACAGTGTCTGATAGGACCACAATTAAAGTGACCCCCTCAACATTCAGGTTCATCTTCTTTTACTTACCTACTGTCAGATACCTACTTCTATGTTAATGGTGTCAGTTTCATGATTGTATGCAAATTGTGTTTGATTTAAAAAATATTTTAATTTGTAGTCTCTCCAAAGGCCAGGCTGCTACATACCTACCCATATACCATTATCTGTTTACTAACTATAGTGTCGCCCTAGCTGAGCGACTCTCTGAGAAGAATGTGGAGCTATTCAGCAAAACGGACCTCAGTTTCATGCAAGCTGTCTATAAGGTACAGTACACTTACTGTGTTTCATTTATTATGGTCACTACAAAAATTGGTGAAAAAATTGTTAAGAACCATTATTTTTTTGGCTCACACAGTGAGCCTATGGGATCGACCAGGCGTCCGTCCGTTGGTCCGTCCGTCCATCCGTTGGTCCGTCCGTCCATCCGTTGGTCCGTCTGTCCATCCGTTGGTCCGCCATCCGTTGGTCCGTCCGTCAATATTGGCCGCACAAATTAAAACTGCTATTCGGATTGAGTCATATCCACATTCATTTTATGCATATCCATAATGCCTATGTGACCTATCATCGCCATTTCCCAAGTTCGCCCGGTTTCCGAGAAATTGCTGATTTTGATGTCAAAAAGTCAAATTTTCTGTAAATACTAGACAGTTTGTTGAAGCAGAACTTTCAAATAACTTGTAGTAGTTGCTTTATATACAACTTATGTCCTCTGAAGATTTCAAAGCTCTTAGAATTACAGTTTTTGGTGTTTACTCTATAAAATTTGACAAAAAGTAGGACTTGGTCATTTTCAGGAAACTTTCTCATGTATAAAGTCAATGGCAGGTTTTTTGATTGACAAGTTTCTCAAAGGTTGCCTTATACTTGATCATTTCTTGCAATGAATTACATCATTACTAGATTTAAGCATTGCTCAATATATGTCAGCATCAAATTTTTACCGTGTTTGAGATATTTGATGTCAAAAACAGTAAAAATAAGTTATTTTTCAACTTGCTTCAATTTGACCAAAATTTTTTTTGAAAATCATCTACAAGTTCAAATCTGACATTAGTTTTAAGATTTGACCTTTACTCGACCTTCAGTGAGCTTTGAAAGGTCAAAAAATTTGATCTTTGGATGTAAATTTTGGTCAGCTTAATCACAAAATACCTTACTGAGCTCTGAATAAGTAAAATTTTCAAGGTTTTACATTCCTCTGAAGGTTCCAAACTGTGTGAGCACAGGACCGTGGGTCCTTCATTTGTCATTGGTGTCTCTGTATCGGTAACATATGTTATTGTTTTCCAGGCCTTACATTCTTTTCCAAAATAGATAATTTCAAATGATCTTCAGTTGAAAATGTGTATGATTAATAATAATGATATCATATAATTTTCTAGTAAATATGTAGAGTAATATTTAGCTATTTATTTTTTTGGGTTATGCACTATTTATAACAGTGGCACTCTAACAGGTGCATCCGGTACTTAATCATATTGGTTATACAATAAACTAGATGCGAGTAGAAATAATCTTTATTTATGTCATTAAATATTCAGTCAAAGTGATTTCATATTTGAAATCTACAAGTAAAAATACATCTAGAAATATGGTTTCCAAAATTGTTTATCAACTTTTAAAATTTAGTTATCCCACCGAACGAAGTTCGAGGGGGATATAGAAAAGCCGTCCGTCCGTCCGTTCGTCCGTCCGTCCGTTCGTCCGTCCGTTCGTCCGTTCGTCCGTCTGTTCGTCCGTCCGTCCATCCGCCTCCGACCCCGGTCAAAATGTGACCTGAGATGAATTTTAATATAATTTCAAAATTTGTAGCTTATATTTGTTATGAATTCATAACATGTTATAATTATCAATAAGGGTTCTATTCAATATAGAGTTCATTAATTTAGTAGCTAATTAAAAAAAATTGAGGTCACATTAACTTTGGCAGTGGGGTAGGCGCAACTTGACACAAAACGACTTTCTAGCAGTCAGTTTTCAATGTAATCTATACCTCAAAACATGATTTTTTGGGTTATTTTAAAATAGCAATGAAGTTCTCAAAATTTGCCATGAAGATTTTAGGGTAAAGCAGATTTTTCAAAAATATTAGTCAATAGTACATAGAATACTACAGTATAATTTTGAACAAGTGACAAAAAAAGAAAACATTTTTTAAGTCAATGTTCTCTTGATCAAATCTCTCAAAAGTTGGTGAAAAGCTTTATTTTGGCTTATTAAATATACACTGTGAAACATGTTGAAATCTTTTTACTCAGATATGAATAAATTGATATTTTGTCCTTTTTCTCTAGGTCACATCTACCCCATGCGTCCACCATCAAAAAAAATATTTGTTCATCAATAATATTTTCTTGTAATAGGTAGATGTGATAAATTCCTACATAAGAAAAGGATAAACACATTTATGTCAAGTATCTAGAGTACTTAATTTCAATATTTATTTTCAATACTTGTTTAAATATTATGTTTTGCCCCAAGTCGCACATACCCCACCTCATGTAAAAATATGAAAATTTTCAATAAATCCTCTTCCCTTCAAAAGTTGATGGTAATTTTAATACTTATTTCATTGTTACCTTCTCTGAAATGTTAACAAATAAAAATAGCCCATTTAGATCACCCATGGTACCATACATTAAGATACTAGATAATATGCATTTAAACATTGATTACCAACATATCATATGAGTATAGTTTCCTTCAAGACAGAATCTGATCTAAAGCATTGACAAAATTGCAAGCAACATGTACAAATAACATATTAATGTGGTACTGGTGATCTCAAATACAAAATCCCATAAGATCTATGATATCCAATCAATTGGTAAAGACTAAAGATATGAGCCCAAAATGTAATAAGATTGAAATAATTGTTTCTTGTGCTTGTCTTTGTCTGTTCATTATCTGTTTTCACACCATCGGTAGTATATGGTCGTCGTGATGACTATGTTTTCATTACGGTGATTGTCCCACTTTTTTGTCATCCCAATTTCGGGATTCAGCTGATTATCTTTTAGGTGGCTGAATTGTTTTCTGGCAGCCAATTTGAAGGTTTTTTGTTAAATCTTGTCATTGTCATTGTTCAGTTTTCTCCAAATCCACACACCTGTTTGTAACAGAACTGCAAAAGATCTCTACAATTATCTCCACTCTGTTATATTGCCTTAGATTTTAGTTCAATATGTGAGCTATTGATTAATATGACCAAAGTCAACATTTTTTCTTCAAAGTTTTTAAAAATAATAGGAGAAAAGTTTTCCTGGTTCATACATTGTCTGGCTATTTGGTGGTGTGATCTCGTTCACGTAATGTATCTTGTTAAATATAGCTACTGTGCCTAAAAATTGATACCACAGCATTGAATTAATGGGAGTTGACTTTTAATTAAACAGACTGTTATTTTATATCTAGTTTAAGATATTGTTTGATATAAATTCATTCTAAAAGTTACATAGATGGTACCAACTTGAAGCTAGGAATTTGTAGTATGTAGAAATAGGATATATATGTGGTGGATCTGGTGTGTGTGACATAAGGATATTAATTATGCATTTTATTATACAGGGTGTTCAGTAAATATCATGAATAGGTCTGGCATTTTGTTTTATTGTATGATATACAATGTATCAGCAAATAAATATGAATAGAATATTGAGGGTATAACACCCTATAGTACTCTTGGTTGCTATGGTAACCATATTATCAACCAATCTAATGGTAGAACTGATATCTTTAAATAAATCAATTCAGAAATGTCCAATGCATATGCTCATAAATTTTCATATTTGGACCAATACTAACAGTAACAAAATACCAGACCAATGCACCTTTTTTCTTTACAGAGGGTATACTATTTTGTAGCGATTTAGTATGAATAATTAGTCTCTGCATACAATTTTGCCATTTGACGTCAATTGTATTCTGTATATTGAATATTTTTTGGTGATTTGTTATCACAGGCTGTTATCGAAAGATTTGTGCGCTGTGACGGATCATGCTATTGTTCATAAAAACACTAAGAATACTTCACAATTTATTTTTTAACTCATATGTTTAGTTATATCAAAGAAAATTACCTACTCCATGCAATGGATATATCATTTGTGAGTAACCGCCAAAGTATCATACGCTAAAATGTACCATTTCTTTTTTTAACTTTTTAGTGGCATGATATAGTGACATGATAATATTTACATATGATTTCAGCATAACTCTGAATGTATTTATGAAGATCTGGATGTATTGGGTCATTTATTTCATAAAAAATAATGTTTAATTTTTTTGTCTGCTGTGACGGAGCAGTTTCACTTTTCACATTTGCAACTGCTTCATCACAGCGGACAACAAAATTAAACATTATTTTTTATGAAAAATAATTAAAAAGACCAAATACATCAAAATCTCATTGATACTTTCAGAGTTATGCTGAAAACATATGTAAATATTATCATGTCACTGTATCGTACCATTAAAAAGCTAAAAAAAGAAATGGTACATTTTGGGGTATGATACTCTGGCGCCATTTTCAATAGCTTTACCTCCTAGCATTATGGGACTTCAAACAGAAGTGAAAGTTCCCCACAAATGATATATCCATTGCATGGAGTAAGTAATTTTCTTTGGTAAAACGAAACATATGAGTTAAAAAATAAATTATGAAGTATTCTTAGTGTTTTTATGAAAATAACATGCTCCGTCAAAGCGGACAAATATTTTTGATACCAGCCTGTGGTTATGGACTTTTATATTAATTAAAAACATATTCATTTAGATATTTTCATGGATAAAGCAACTACTTAAAACAAAGACACTGGCTCTAGATTGCATCGTATATTTTAAAGAAAATTAAGAAGTTTACTTTAGGTATTTATGATGTTTATCAATGTTAATTGTTGAATTGAACACATGTGAAGATGTTTACTCTATAGATCAGGATTAACAACACAGTACATGTTCATCATTAACTGTGAACTGGTAAAAGCATTAATTTGAATAATATCTGAACTTCAATAGGAATCCCATTCTCTATAGATAACAAAAGATCTCTTAAAAAACAATACTTTTAATTAAAAGTAACTTATAATCATAGTACATGAAATGCATTATTTTTTGTTATACGAGGGCTGATCATAAAGGTCTCATAATATCTCTCTAATTTCTTTATTTATCGATATTACTAATGAAATTTTCACAGAATGTGCAGCATAGAACATCATATTAATTCAGCAAAAAATATTTAGAACAACAAAATATAATG